AGAAGCGGGTGGAGGGAGCACTGGGTATTATGGCTTCCCACAAGAGGGCCCTGACCCGTGTGTGTATGTGTGCGTGTGTGTGTGTGTGTGTGTGTGTGTATTATGCTAGGGTGTCGCTCAGGGTGTGGGAAGCTGCTGAAAGGCTTTACGGAGGGAAGGAACAGATTTTTAGAAAGACTGGGCACAGGAGAGGAAGGTTGGGAAACGAGAGAACTGAATAACCAGGCAAACCAAGGTTAAAAATGCAACCCATGAGGGGAACGAAGAGAGAGAGACCTGGTGCTGCCAGTGAGACTGGATTGAGGGAGGGTTTAGGTATGAAATCTGTTTGGGAGGCAAAATTGGCAAGGTTGGAGGATTGATTGGGTCTGGAAGATGATAAACAGTGAATTCAGTGAATGACAAGGATCACCGCCCATAACAATAGACATACTAAAAACTAGTTGGTCACTCTTCTCTTCTCCTCTGCTCTCCTCCTCTCTCTCATCTTCTCTCTTCTCTTTTTGTCTCCTCCTTGGTGCTGCTCTGCAGCCTCCCTCCCCCACCAATAAAGACCTTTCGTACAAAAAAACCCCAAAACACTAGTTGGTCATCTGGAATCTTTGCAGTCCTCATCTTACACCACACACATGCTGGGACAAACTCTAAATGGATCTGTTACGGTGGAGACTTAAAAGGAGTTCATGGCGTGAGTGGAGAAAAATTAAAAGTTTATCTTCTTAGAAGAAGAGAGATGGAGAGAGAATGGAATTGGGGGGGATAAAGGGAGAAAAAGCCGGGAATTGGCGGCACCCCAAGCAAAGAGAAAGTAGGTGCTAGCGGCTGAGGCCAAGCAGTTTAGTTTTATGTGGATAAAGAGAAGGGGTGGGGGAAAAATAGTGATTGCTGTCAATTGATAACAGAAGAGGCTATGAAAAACTGCCCCCACATACTGTTTTTCTTAGTGGCAGGCTGATAACAGAAGTGGCTGTCTTTCCCTTGCATGGAGAGTTATCGCTGGGGATGTGATTCTGCCATTAAGATATGGTTTGGGGCAGGAAATGAGGCCTGAAGCTTGCACCAGCTGCTGTCTGCTCAGGAATCAAGGCTGTAAAGCAAATTCTCAAAAGCAGTTGTTTTTGTTTTTGCAGTTTTTGGCTGGGGCTGGGTTTGAATCCGCCACCTCGGGCATATGGGACTGGCGCCCTACCCTTTTGAGCCACAGGAACTGCCTCAAAAGCAGTTTTAAAACAGAAAGATTTCCCTTTTATTTTTGTTTGTTTAGCTCTTTTCAGATGTTGTGAAAACAGAACATCCACAAGATGTGTTAGCAAGACACCTCAGAGGATTGATTGATCTTAGCATTTACTGAGAGATTGTCGGGTTAGATTTTTCTTTCTGTAATTTTAGCAAGACCATCCTTTCAAGATTACAGATTTTTTTTCTTTTTTGGAGACAGGAGCTTCAAGCTGTCCCCTGAGTAGAGTGCCATGGGGGGGAATCACCCTGCCTGGAGCAGAGAACAAGCTACTGGCGAAAGGCACGCCCGAGCTTCTGCTAAATACTCTACTGGACATTTCTGTACTTACTTGTCATGCCCCCCAAACCAATTTTACATTTTCACCCTATTCATTTTCTCTGCCGCATCAACTGATTATGTCTACTTTATGACTCTTGGCCATTGCATTTGTTCGCTCCACTAGTGTTTTTAGCGAACTATAGCGCATGTGTTTATCAACGTGTCTCCGCCTAGAGATGCCCTGAAGGCAAGAAAGGTCCTGATTTACCTTTCATCTCTGACACTTGACAAACACAAGGTGTCCCGTTGCTATTCTTCAAAAGAGTGTCTTAAGGCTTGCTCTGAAATGAGTATTTTCACTTTTCAGAGTTCCGCTTTGGTTCAAGATCTCCAGGGGTTAGCAGACCCCCCTGTGTTAAGCCAGGCCTGGCCGGCCGGGATCAACCTCGCTCCTACCTGAGCCTCACGCGATGCGGCCCCTCCAGCGCGGACCTGCAGGGCCTGGGTACTGAGAGACGCAGTGGCAAGGAGACCGGCCGCCCGCAGCTGAGGCTGTGCACAGGGAGACCGGCTCTCGCGCAACCCCACCGCCGCCAAAGCCCGCAGAAGCACCACAGCTCGGCCCAGCGCCCGCCTCTCACCCACTACCCCTCACTCCGCCACGCTCGCTCTTGCCCTCTGCAGACCGGAAGTGGCCTGAGGACTCTATCAGACAGGTGCGTGAGGAAACGACCGCTTCCGTTTCCTCTCTAGGACTCTCGGAGGCCACGGAGGTACGTCTCGATGGTCGCACGTCCTTGCAAGGGATTCCAAAGCCTTAGCGGCGGGGCCACCAGGGGTTCACAGCCCCTCTCAAAACGCTCTACAGCGAGGCTCCTTTACGCCTCCGTGCCTTTGCACCTGCTTTCACTCTCTGGAAAGGACCCGGCGTATCTCTACACACAAGCACCTACACGGCGCCGCCCTCAGCCGCTTTAGAGTCTGGTCGGTCAACAAGTGACTATTCCGGTGCCCAATGCCAGGCGTAGGGGCAGAAGCGGGTGGAGGGAGCACTGGGTATTATGGCTTCCCACAAGAGGGCCCTGACCCGTGTGTGTATGTGTGCGTGTGTGTGTGTGTGTGTGTGTGTGTATTATGCTAGGGTGTCGCTCAGGGTGTGGGAAGCTGCTGAAAGGCTTTACGGAGGGAAGGAACAGATTTTTAG